TGTGTTTATAAGAGAAATGATATGAATAAGTGATGTGAACTGTTATAAATGATAATGCCCATGTTATGTGATATGAGAGCTAGGGGTATAGTTGACATGCCAAGAGTCGAGGGTTTACCTATGTCTTTTGGGACATATGGACAGTATACCTATGTTCTAAGGAACATATGGACAGTTTACCTAGGTTCTTCGGGACCTATGGACAGTTGTCGAGGTTCTTTATGACCTCTGGATAGGTCATTCGGGATATTTATACGAGCTGTGGTGACAACATAGTGGTGCACAACCTCAACGTACTCACATACCTTAAGTTCTCAATAATATATATGGGCTTTAAAGATAATAAATAACTTAATATGATACTATGTGTGCTCTGTTGTGAAATGACATGGATGCTCGAAGGTGAGTATAGAAAGGTTTAATATATGCTTACATGATAAAAAGGAATTAGTGATAATAATATGAGTACTGATAAGTATGTTAATGATATATGTATATGTGTGCATTGGTTATACAATGGGAGATATGTTTTTATATGATATGATAGTATTAACTGTTTATGCATTGATATGAGTAGAGAAATATGATATGTTTTCATGCCTCACTAAGTTAACGACTTAGCGTGTGATTGTTTCACGCGTAGGTTTAGAAAAGAGGAAGATTGGTAAAAGTTATGCAAGACAGGTCAGTTTCTCCTTTCCAAAGATCATATCAGAAAAGAAATGTATAGTATGTATTTTGTAATAATGATAGTGGTTGGCATGTAAATAAAGGTTTAAATCCGATATGTTCTAATCTGCTTTGTAAAATCATATGATTGAGTTTTGTAATGTTTTAAATGTGTATATGTAAATGGTAATTTTATACGAATGAAAATTTAGATTTTTATGAATTTATACGTATTTTGCCAAAGTTACTATAGCAATATTGTAGCAGTACATCGATACACAATTTATATTCAAAAAATTTCATTGTTCATGGTACTGTTCACGGTACTGCTCATGGTACTGTTCATGATTCAGTTCATGGTACTGTAGCAGTGCATCAATACACAATTTATATTCAAAATTTATATCTGATATGTTCATGGTACAGTTCATGGTACTGTTCATATCGTATAATACTATTCATAAATACATATTTTTTCAAATTTTTATAATAAAGTATAATTTATTAGAATATTATTGTATTTTCTTAATATAAGTTCAAATGTTTTGTTATCTTGCAAGAAGATTGTTTCAAAAAGTCAATGCGACATCTCAGACTCGTATCCGGGTCGAATAAGGTTGGGGGTGTTACATAAATGAAATAAAGACATTGGAAAATCTATTCAACAATGATTACGAAGATGATCTATGGATAAAAATTTTTGGTATTAAAAAGTAAATACCATAGAAGGAAAATAAATTGAGCAGTTGACAAGTATTAGTTCTGGGAACTATTCATCTAAGAGTTGTTCGATAATCCAATCAATCAACATAGATTGTAAATGTCCTGAGCCTTCATTTCTTCCTTATTAGCTCAAATCACATTCTGAGTAACTAATGATTATGTCAGTTAACGAACTCTTCCAATAGTGATTCTAAATTCAGATATTCTATCGATATACTGAAGATCCGTGTTTCTTTGCCCGATAAGATTATTCAGTATCTCTAATAATATCTGTAAACACTAGTGTGTTCCCTAATCATATGAATATTTTATCTGATATCCGATTTGAATTTTGTTCTAATATATGATATGGATTTTGTTCTGATATATGATATGAATTCTGTTTTGATTTCTGATATATTTGTTTATTGACGGAAAAATGTTTTATTTGGGGGTATTGTTGGAGGAAGAATATATGCAGGCTCCTCGGCTTTGTGCTCAGGGCCTAACTGTTGTGCCGAGGTTGTATGGTTCTGGGGAACCTACACATTATGTTGTGTTCGGTGAAAGAGATTACTATGGTTTTTGATAAATAAAAATGTTTTTTTGAAAGAAAATATTTATATCTTTTCACTGGTTTTGCGGGAACACACTAGATAACCTATTCTGATATCTTGAACTTAGTTATTCGAAATATTTATCTGAACCGAAAACTCATTGCGCGTTATCACCTTAAATATCAGTAGGATCTCCACTCAGAATAAAAATCTGTAGATGTTCAGAACCATTAAGGAAATATATGTTTATCTGTGTCTGCACGTTCTTCAGCATCATCTGGTAGTTCTGTATTACCGAGCTTTCCGAAGCTCACTCTGTTACTCACCTTTTCAGGTTAAAGAATTGTACCAGTGCAGTTTTTGACTTCAGTAAGGGAATTATTCTGGCGTTGTTATCAGAGTATGATACATTTGATTATGGGGCATGTAATTGTATTTTGTTTTATATATGAGTTTGAAAATTTGTTTTATTTCTGCATATTGATAAATCATTTTATAAGTTACATGTTTTAATAAAAGTTTTAAATTTTCCGCTATTTTTACAGTGGGTCGCTCTGGTAGCCCTAATGTGACACTCCAGATCGGATCGGGTTACCGCATCGGTCTGAAGGGGTTACAATGTATCAGTGCGCAGGTTCTTAGGTGTAGTTCGTGGGGAGTTATCTTCATCAGACATTCCAGTTCAGCAGTTTTAGACCAGCAGATACCATCAGAGTACGTCTTGAGTCATATTTAGAGAGCATGTACTATTTATGGACCCTTGTGTGTATTCAATTGTATCTTTGAATTGTGTTTGGTACTGTACTATTTTGAGATATATTTTGGGAGCTCCCCATTATTTTCTAAACCCGAATCATCATGTTTTATTTTGATTTCTTTGGATGGATTATTTTCAGTGATTATAAATAATTTTTAATGAAAAGTTTTGGGTCACTATTTCGGTAGTGTCATGTAACATTGTAATTCATAAATTTTTGGTCAAATTGGGTTAGGGTGTTACACATATAAAGTTGAAGAATTATATTTATTATATTATATATTATTATATTATTATATTATATTATATATTATTCTTACTCTACTCTAGTATAACAAAAGAATAGAAAAAAAGATAGGTGCATCAGGCGGCAAAAGCGGTGCGTGTGGCGCCTCCTCTAAAAACCTAAAAAACGAGCGCCTTACTGAGCATTTTGTATCGCGCTCCGCCTCTAACATTAGAGACGTTTTTTTATGTGCCCACAATCGATTTGCGTCTAGGCGCGCCTTTTAAAACCAAGATCAAAGGGATAAAGATTTATGTAACTAGTACCAAAGGACTAAGTGTGTTGTAGTTATAATAAAATATTTGAAATATTTGAAGGAAAGTTAGGGTTAATGGACACTCCTTTCTCCTTAGTAGCCATAATTTTTTTTTGGCTTTTTTTTTTAATTTGAAGTTGGATGATAAAAACGGTTTGAAATGATATTTGAAAATATTAAAATCACACGTAAAATAATATGAAAAAGTAAAAATGTGCGAAATTAAATCTTTATCACTTGAATTAAGTTGAGAATTCAATTAAACTATCAAGTACTTTATTTCATTTGAAAGTAAATTTTTAAATATTTTTCAATTTAATTTGTATTTATGATTTTTCATGATTTTTCATATGTAAAAATAAAAATATAGACACAATTATATATATATATATATTGGTTATATAAATATAAATATAAATTTAAAAATTTATGATTAGATTTGTATATTATGTGAATTTATTATAAAATTAAGTTGATACATTTATATGATTGTAAGTTGTGTGAAATCATTGGCAAATAAAAATACTAGATACATTTTATTTCTTTAAAATTTTATGTCAACATATGAATTTTAATGATTTAAAAAAATTATTAATAAGATATTTTGATATATAATTTACATCGATAAAATCACTAAATATTTTAGTTAATATATATATATTTTAAATGACCCCCTCATAAGAAAATATTGAATTCGGCACTATCTAAAACTTTTATTTTCTTTTATTATAGCTACAACACACTTGGTCCTTTGGTACTAGTTACATTAATCTGCCTCTTAAATATTCATTGACATTATTTATCCAAATATCAAATCATTCGTTATGGGTTAAAATGTAGCCATCACACTGTAGGTTTTATTACCCCAAACTTTTGATCTTCCTCTTATCGGTGACACTAATAATAAGGGTCACTTTTCGAGAGAGGTGAGATGTCACAAAAACCAAGCCACTCTATTTAGTCTTCATGATTGATTTGTATTTGGTCGTCTCTCGTTTCATCCATTCACATGACGCGAAATACTCCACAATTCGCTATTTGAAAGATTGATTATTGGTAGATGCAATGCATCAAAATTAGACGTAAACTTTACTTGACCAACTCAATATTCAACAATAAAATAAAAACCATTATGGTCAAGTTTCGTATGACTTCAGTATATGACAGATGCCTTAGTCATATTTTTTATCCTTTTGATATCAATACATCTTATGATCTCGCTATTGAGCATATATATATATTATGTTTTAAATTTACTCCAATTTTTTAAAGCAAAATAAGGATATAATTTATTTAAAATGATTGTCTTTATGCGATAAAGGATTGAAATACGATATAACATATAAACTATTAGAATATAAGAATTTTAGAAAAAGAAGTTAAAAATCTTTTGAAACATTATAAAAGTTGATACTTTTTTTTGAACGGTCAAAAGTTAATAATTTGATAGGTTAATAATAAGTTTTTTTTTATTAAACTAAGATGATTATAAAGTAATATTTATTCTATTTTATCTCAATCATTTGACAATAAACGCTCAATCACCCTGCTAAAGTCTCTGGTGTTCATATCCGTGACCTCTAGAAAAAATAATAATTTCTTTAAGTTGGTTAATGCATAATAATGAAATTTGATTAAGAAAAAAAGCACATGCTTTATTCATTTAAAAGTTCATTGTACAAATTTGACGGTCCATATTTAATTCTCAAAGCTTAAATATTGTAGGATAATGTGCGATTATTCCGACGAATAAAAGGAATCCATATTTTATTCTCAAAGCTTAGCTTGAGGTTGAGGTGATCTATAGTCATTACCAGCCGTCCATTGAGTACCAACTGCAATCAACCGTCCATTCTTGGATTTGTTTCGAATCTCTACCAGCACAGATGAAAGCTTTCCTCGGTTTCCGTTTGCCTTTGCCTCTATCTCCACTTCTTCCTGCACCATATTTATTAATTATATTTTTCTACTGTGATTATCAAATTAGTTTTTTTATAATGTCATTATTAATGTTATATTTTATTTTAATTATTTATCATTAAAATATTAAAAATATATATTTTTAATCTTATCAATATGTTAATGATATATGTAATCAATAAATAAAATCAAGAGGAAAATATTATTGGCATTAAGAAAAGATTTTAAACCTAAAAACTCTTACAAATGAGTGGAGTGTTTAACTACTAGGCTAGACAAAAGCTCTTGTAAATCACTATCAAAATTATTATTTAAATTAAATTGTACACTAATTCAAAATTAAAGTAAAATTGTTAGTGAAAGGTATCAAAACCAAACGTAACTGTATAATCGTTAAACAACTACATTTAATGAGTTCCTAATCATTTAAATATACTTCCTTCAATAAAGTTAGTGATAATTTTATTTTTTTTAAAAAGACAAAAAAAGCATGAGATGTCCTTGTATTTTTGGAAAAAAAATTATGTAGCCCTCGTATTATTTTTCTCTCAATGTGACACTCTAACTCAGAAAATAAACTCAATGTGACACTTTGACCAACATTTTTCGTTGTTGATCATTATGGTGCTGACGTGACAGTTCACGATGCTGGCGTGACAATTCACGGTGTTGACATGGCAGTCCAGGGTGGTAGATTAACGTATCTGATGCCATGACAGATGAGCTAAATTGGTAACTCTAACATGGTAGATAAACTGTTATGTCAGTATCGTGGACCATCATGTCATCACAATGAATTGGCACGCTAGTACTGTAACGGTAAACGACGAAAAACGTTAGTGAAAGGGCCATATTGAGTTTGTTTTCTAAGTTGGAGGGCCACATTGAGAGAGAAATAATATGAGGGTCACATTGGTTTTTTTCAAAAAGTACAAGGACCTTTGATGCCTTTTTGCCAAAAAAGAAACAAAATAATTTAAGACTAAATTAGAAAGTTGGTAATAAGATCGAAGGCTAATAATATAGTTTACCCTTAATTTTAATGATGAAAAGTAAGAAATAAGCAAGCAAATGAACCTGAATCTTAGCAGTAGAATGATATTGAATGTTGAAATTGACGGTGACTTTTACTTTGTGACAGACGGAGTATATGGCGGTGGCACCAACACTGTCGATTATAGTCGCTATGGCTCCGGCATGCCAATTCCCATTTATATCCTGCATAATAAACAGATCAAAAAACTCATTAACTATTTGGGTTTTTTTTTTTAAATAAACAGAAGATATCTCGTTATGTAAAACCTAAAAGACATGAAGAAGAGAAGGGAGATTACGGAAGCGTGGGCGGGAACGATGAATTTACAATGCAAGAAACCGGCGTCGGCTTGAATGACCCGAATACCACGAAGGCTTCGAGCCTCGAGCTCGTAGCCTACGGCACCGTTTGCGACGCCGTGGAGCAATTTTAGAGATCTCTGCAACTGGAAATTATGCGCCTGTGAAATGCTTTCTTCTTCCTGGGAGTATTCGGTCATCATCTATGTCTACTGTCTCTAATTTCTCTCACACACAAGATTCTCTTGTTATAACTCTCTGTCTCTCTCTCTCACACACACACACATATATATATAATGCGCGTGAGAGCTAATGGTTTATATATTACATATTAAAATAGTAGAAGATTTGTTGGGAGGAACCTTCGACTTCAAACGCCAGCGCCGACGGCGGACATGAGAGATGTCTGCTATTTTACTTATTTTTTTTATTTTTAGCTTAGTTATAAATTCAGCTTGCCCTCGTGTTTAATTATTTTAAGTAGTAGATGCAACCATGAAACCACTATGGAGCATGAATAGTTAAATACTTGGATTTAGGTCTCATATCAATTTTTTCATAAACTATCCTACTGGTTTTGAAAAAGTAAATTTGTAAAAGAATTTATAACACTTTCAATGGCAATTGAATGGATTATACACTAAAAAAATCAAGTGTTGGATTATTCTTTCTTACAGCAGTTTAGGGACGGAACTAAAAATTTATTATAACATAATTAATTTTTTATAAATACATTTTTATTAAGAAAAATCTGATAAATTATTCTTTATTTATTTTTCAAAAAATATTTTTTAATATTAATTAATTCTTAAAAAATAGTTAGTGGGGGGTCACGACTCTCTTTGACCCCCACAAAGTTCTGCCATGTGATGGAGTTTTAAGAAATTAAAAAAGAGAAAATCTTTACAATAGCAATAACAAAATAATGATAATGATAATATCATTCTCACAAAATCATTCAATACAGTTCCACCACTAAGAACATACAAGATATTATCGATGGTATCAATTATTAGATTAAATTATAAAATTCAAAATAATTAGCGGTAAAAAATAGAATTCAACAAAGTGTAGGGGAAAAACAAGATAGTTTTAAAGATGAAATGACTGAAGGAGAAAAATTTCCTTTATCTACAAATTAATTAGATACACTCTCCGCCCAACTTACTTGAACCATCTTTCATTTTCTTTTATTACTCCTACTAGCAACTTATAATATATATATATATATATTCTCAACGTGCGTAGAACCTACAATTTAGTATATACTTCTCTATTTCAACAAACATGGGCTCATGACGGACAATTCATAATTCTGACTGTCGGAGGTTTTTCACGGAAACTGCTCTCAACCTGGAGTTGGGGATAACCTATTATTCTACTTCCTCCTTACCCCATTACATATGTGAATAAGGTCAACTAATTTTTTTTAATAGTTATAATAAAATAGAACTATATATATGGCTTTTTTATTTTATTTATTGGTATAGTATATGTTACGTGAAAAAAGAGAACTCACTCTATTTCTTTTTGTTGTTGTGGTTTTTTCATTAAATTAACTATTAACTTGATTATAAATTTAAATTTATTATATCACAATCTCATGCAAATAATCATAATCATAATTTATTATTTAAACGTTCAAAGATTTCATAAGCTAAACAATAAATAACTTAATTATATATAATTATTCAAACTTCACATTAATCTATTATATCACAATCTCATTCAAATTATCATAATAATAATATTTTATTATTATTTAAACGTTCAAAGATTTCATAACCAAAACAATCTACAACATATATATATATATATATATATATATATATGAAATTTTATTAAACACACACATATATGTATGTGTGTGTGCCAAATTATCCAAACTTCACATTAATCTAAAATAAACATTTTAAAGTGGGCAGCGCGCCACCTTAATTTTCGAACAAAACAAAACATCTAGATAGCAACGTGTATGGGATCCTTTTGTTTTTATAATATTATTTCTCTATTTCAACAAACATGAGTCCACGTGAGGCCCTTCCTAATACGAATTTAAAAATTAATTATGGAAAATAGCATACTAAAATTAGGGTAAATTACATGCTTAGTATCTTAACTATCATTTTTATTTTATTTTGGTTATCCAACTATTATCTGTTTCAAAATCATACTTAATGTTTAGTTTTGGTTTCATTTTTGTCATCCATCATAAAAACAATTAACAGAACTGCTAACATGATATATTTTTTTAAATTTTTTTATTGATAAAGTGGTATTATCTTATGGCGAAACGTTAGCAACATGATTTTTTAACGTTGGATAACCAAAATGAAACCAAAACTAAACATTTAGGTATGATTCTAAAACAAAAAATAATTGAGTGACCAAAACGAAATAAAAGTGGTAATTAAAGTACTAAACGTGTAGTTTACCCTAAAAATATTCACTAAGTATAGCATTATATTGATAATGCAAAGATAATGTTTTTTTAGCATGATGTGTGTTGAAAACATTTTGATGTTTCAATATAACAAATGAATTTTAAGATTTTGCAAATGATTTTCTAAGTATATTCGATATAATTATTCGAATATCAAAATATTACTCCAAGTCTTTCAAAGTTCATTTTAATCCTTACTAAAGTGTAAAATTGTGTTTTATACTTAACTATTTTAAAACAATTTTACAAAGTATTTCGAGCCTTAATCGAGCCAAAAATATTTTCTTTTTAAAGGGTTTCAAGAAAAATCATATTGCCCAGGGGTACCAATTCCCCCTGTCTAACGGTAAAAAACATATTGCACTTAGGGAACCAATTCCCCATGAGGGGGTATCGATTCCCCCCACGCTCCAAGCTATTTTATTAATTGTTTCTCATCCCCAAACGGCTCCAAAACATCCCCAACGGCTATATACGACTTCAAACACATTCCAAGCTATAAATACAACCTAAGGACACTTGAAGATGCAAGAGAACAACTATCCAAGCAATCAAACACAAGAGAAAAGTTTTTCAATCTTATTTCATCTTTCTCTTGTAAATATTTTGTTCTTGTGAGCTTAATTCTTGTAAACACCTACCTTAGAGAGATTTTCTTTTTTACATTTCTTATCCTTTTGTAAAGGGGAAAGGTTCTAGCTAATCCCGTGTAAAAGCTAGGGAAAGGTTCTAGTTTAGCCCATAAAAACTAGGGAGTTTGTAAGGTTACTCTTTATCCTCAAAAGAAAGAACAAATTAGTGAATTTGTTGGAAAATTCTTGGTGAGGAGCTAAGGTAGTGGACGTAGACTTTGGTTGAGAAAGTCGAATCACTATAAATCGCTGTGCAATTCTCTATCTTTCAATCTCTTTACTCCCTAAACACAAAACCGTTTCGACCCCTCTTTGCAAACCGTTCCGGTTGTCGATTCGAACTTCTGAAAATCCTAACAATTGGTATCAGAGCCTAACTCGTTAAGAAGGTTTAATCACCTTGAGATGATCCTAGAAGAAGCTCCACCAATTCCCGACACAATCGAGAAGATAGCTTCCACCTTCGGCTCGTTCCACATGGAAGACTCCCTACCAACCGACAAACCTACATACTTCAATGGAGTCAACTATCATCATTGGAAGAAATTAATGAAGGTATTCATCCAATCCAATGATCTTGATGCATGGGAGATAATCGAGAACGGCTACTCTTCTCCAAAGAAGAATGAGAAGAAGAATAGTGACAAAGAACGGAAGAAAGCTCAACTTAATGCCAAGGCCATGCACATGTTGTTTTGTGCATTTGGTCATGAAATCTATGAAGGGGTTTCTTCATGTTCAAGTGCCAAGGAGCTTTGGAATAAGCTTGAGGAAATCCATGGAAACAATAAAGAAGAACCAACAAAGGTGGTGTCTCTAATGGCTCGTGAAGAGTCCGAGGTATCTTCTAACTCAAATGAATTTAATTTATATACGTTTGATGAGTTACAAGATGCTTTTAATAGGTTATATTTGGAGTTTGAGACCATGAACTCCAAATATAAGAAAATGATTTCAAAATTTAAAATCGAAAATGATTTTCTTTTGAAAACAAAAATAGATTTTGAAAGCCAAAATGAAATTTTGAAAAAGGATTGAGAGCTTTCAAAAATAAAAATTGAAATTTTTGAAAAAGAAAATCTTGATTTAAAAGTTAAGCTTAAATGCTTAACAAAAGAAAAAGAAATCATTTTAAATAATTCATTTAGTTTAATAATGACAATATGCTCACATTGTCATTATCATGGTCATAAGGAACATACTTGTCCTTTGAAGAAAGGAAAACGTTTTAAAATTAGACAAGTATAGGTTCCGAAAGGAACAAGGGGCATTGAAACTAACGACTAAGGATCCAAAGTAATTTGGATACCAAAATCTACTTAAATGTCTCTTGTAGGTGTGTGGGAGCAATGGTGATGAAAATGATGATATTCAAGATGCTCTAGCCACACATGAAAAAGGAATGGGTAACCTCTAAGCTTAATACTTTTAATTTTGGTTATTTGGTTGCTCATTTGATTTTAAGCATGCATGAGTTTTGGTTTTAAATGATTATGCATCATTGTTTTAATCTCATGTATGTTGAAAAGATGATTATGGTGAATATTTTAAAGATATATTAATTTTTTAAGAATTTTTAGTTCATCATAATAAAATTTTGGTCAAAATTGGTTTTAATGCAAATGATATCTCTCTGACAATTGATATCAACTTTTCAAATGTTTTGATTTTATAAATTTTAAAATTTTTGACCTAAATTTAAATGTTTATGCATGTGGTTTAAATGAAAATGATATCCCTCTAACAATTGATATCAAAATTTTCAAATGCATAATATTTTTTGAAAACTTTATGCATATGATCTTAAATTCAACAATTGGTATTGCATAAAGTATTTTAGACTTGGATACATTGAATTTCATGTGCTAATAACATGTTTGTTATTTTTTGTTGAAATTCAATTTTGTTTAAGTGTCAAGATCCTAAAAGCATAATTTTATTTGGAATGTATTTATTGAGGGGGAGCTTTGATTTTTCAAATGATTTTTTTTTTTTAAATGTCAAATTTACTACTTACTCTCCAAAGTTATTTTGAACTTCAAAGATTAGAGTCTTTTTGATTTAACAAAAAGGGGATAAGTGTTAAAGTGTTTTAAAGGGGAGAAGTGTTAAAGTAAGGGGAGTA